TCCAAGTATCTGAATATGTATGTGACTGTAAGAATCTGGGGAGGCAGCCTCGCCAGTTGGGTCCCAGGGACTCAAGGCTAGTCTTGTGACTGGGTGACACCCTGCCTCAAAACAGTGACACTAAACAAGCACCCAATCAAGGCAGGCTATAGGGATGCTCTCCTGTCTGCCATAAAACATGTTTTCGAAACATCTGAGTATGAGTGGAGACCAGAGGACAACCTTGGTATCATCTTTAGATGACACCACCTCTTTTGAGACAGGGTCTTTCAACTGGCCCCAAACTCACTAAGCTAGGCTCCCTGGCTAGGTATGAGCCCCAAAGGTTCTCCTGTCTCTGCTTTCCCAATGCTGAGATTATAAGCGTGTCACAACACCCAGAATTTTTACATGGGTTTCAGGGTTGAACACAGGTCCTCACGCTTGCACCTAGTTTTGAACCAGTATATGAGTGCTTGTCCGATCAGGCCTTGAACTTGCGGAGCTGGCTGGAGGCTGGGTGAGTAGAGCCCTCTTTCCGTGAGAGTGTGTTTTTCACTCCATTACCATTTCCAAAGACATAAGTCTGAGTGTATTGTTTCTTCAATAGCTGGCAAGGCAGGCAAGTGGCCTCTGTGGGCACCAGGCAGGCTCACATGGTTCACAAGACAGACAGACACACAGACACACAGAGCCAGAAGCCAGTAGTAAGTGGCTGGGGACAAGGCATAGTTGGGGGGAGGGATTTGAGGGAGTACCTAGCTCAAAGGATAGTAAAAGTCAATAACCTACTAGGAACATTTAAAGAGCACCCGCCACTCCAACATGACTTCAGGTAAGTTGCATCTTCAACCACCTCTCCCCTTGAGTAGAGCCAGAACTTAACTTCCGAGCTGTTGGAGGACACAAGTCAGTCTGTGGCAGATGCTAGTCAGGTTTCAGTTTAGAAGGAACGACTTTGTGGTGATCAGATTGACTGTTGCTTCCAGAACACACTGCAATCAGTGCCCATGTTCTAGTCTAATTTCAGACATGAGTTTCCTTGAATCCCACCGGTACAAGGAGTTTGACTCGGTGCTGGCAGACTCAGTGATGGAGCCCTACTGTAGTGGGTCTTAACCTGTGGGCCACGACCCCTAGGGGTCAAACCACCACAGGGGTCACCTAACACCATTGGAAAAGTTATTTACATCACAATTCACAACAGTACCAAAACTGGTTATGAAGTGGCAATGCAAATAATTTTATGGTTGGGGTCACCACAACATGAGAAACTATATTAAAGGGTCAAAGCACTAGGAAGGTTGAGAACCACTGCTCTACAGAATCAACGCTTTTCAAATGGTTTTTTGTTGTTATTGTGTGTTTTGTTTTGTTTTTTTGTTTTCTCGAGACAGGGTTTCTCTGTGTAGCTTTGCGCCTTTCCTGGAACTCACTCTGTAGCCCAGACTGGCCTTGAACTTGCAGAGATCTGCCTGCCTCTGCCTCCCGAGTGCTGGGATTAAAGGTGTGTGCCACCACCGCCTGGCTTGTTGAGTGGGATGTCGTGCCAGTGGCCTGAAGTCACTTGGGACATATTCTGGGCTTTACTTTCTGTCACTGCTTTACAGTGGCTCTACTTCAGAGAGATCTCCTCCCAAACTGAAAAATGTCCTGAGCACACAAGCAGCTTGAGTTGGCCTCAATTCAGCCAGTGGAAATAAAGACTACATCTCCACTACAGACCTGAAATGATCACCTGAACCTGCTTCCATCCCCTATTTCTCCACTCCCCTGCAGCCAACCTGCCACACCACTGTACTTACCTTCTTCACCTTGCTGCTGTCCACCAGCCTCTGTACTTCTGACCTTGGCTACTGCCTGGAACTCACCTACAGCACTTACAGTTTGCAAACAATTCATTTTCAGATGCTGGTGTTTACCTACAGTTTGTGTATGTGTGTGTGTGTGGGGGGGATCAGACTTTTCCACAATATAGTTTACTTACTTCCCTTATGACGTAAGCCTTTTCAAGATCTGTGTCCTCTCCTACATACTACCCTACCTGGCCAATGAGATCATCAGCTGAGCAAGTATCGGTTTAATGTGGATCAGTTTTATGATTTACTGTTCCCTGAATGTGTTGAGTTTAAAACACCTATCTTATCTATGAATAACTCAAGGCGAGCAATTTGCTTCTGGGATAAGGTAATGATATGATAAACACTTATCCAAACAGGCAAAAATCAATATATTAATGATTTAACAGCAAATTTCTCAAGCTCTCTGGAATGAGAAGGCTGCCTCGACTCTACATGGTGGTCTGGGTATTTAGTTAAAACAGGTAGCACCTGAATATTTCTCTCAAAAAGACGAGACTAAAGCTACAAGTATAGGGCAAGAGAGATGGCTCAGTGCTGAAGAGCATTGGCTGTTCCTCCAGAGGTCTTGAGTTCAATTCCCAGCATGCTGTCTACATATGTAGTACAACTGTCTACAACTGTAGTCCCATGGGTTCAGACATCCTCTTCTGGTGTACAAGCATGCAGACAAAAATACTCATATACATAAACAAATCAATCTTTTTTTAAAAAAGATACATATATAATCAATTCAATACATATTAAAAACCAATATGCTAAGTACTGTCTCTTATGGGCTGGGATCACCAATCCAATTACAGTGGTCTACCTATGACCAGAGGACACAGGATACATGACGGGTAGGAGGGAGGGAAGACAGGACAGGATGTTGAAAGTACCACAACCTCCAGGGAGAAAAGCAGATGCTGGGGGCTGAAGATGGCTCGGGTGTTAACAGTCCTTGCTGCTCTTCCAAAGGACTTAGATTCAGTTCCTAGTACCCATATAGCATCTCACAATGATTCAGAAATTCAGAACGCTCATCTGCAGGTGCTGCCCAAACATGATGCACACATATATAAACATGTATGAGGACACGCACGCATGCGCGCACGCACACACACACACACACACACACACACACGCACACGCGCACACACACACACACACACACAAAACTCTCATACATAGTAAAAATAAACTTTTTTTTTTAAAGAAAAGCAGATGCTGGTCCTTTGAGCCAAGAACATTAGCACTATATAGTAAGTCTTACATTACTATGACTTTGGAACAAAGAGTGGTAGCAACCAAGAGCAGTTTGGGAACTCTAGGCAGGTGCTGAACACCCATAAAGGCCAGGGAACTAGAGAGAGGGAGATGTTTTAAGGCTAGATCCACTAAGATTTGATAAGAAACGTGAGAAAGGATTGGGTGAAATGTCAGATTCTTTCAGTAATCAGAACAGAAAACACTGCCATTAAATTACAACAGGAAAGATAGAAACTTGCTTTTATTGGAGTAAGAGTAGAGATTCAAAGTTTTTTCATGTTGAGTTAAATATACGCAGGACAGAGGTATCCATACTCAGGTTCTTGCCCAATGATACATGGTCACCTACAGTGTCCTCAAATGTGAGGTAGACATGAAAAGGTGCTTTCTATCCTGGATTTTTACTCTCCTTTTCCTAAGGAGAATTACTGGTGTCCCTTCCTGAATAAGACACACAGATTGTCCCATGTATGCGCCTTGCACTAATCCAACCATACTTTTTAAAATAACATAACCAATCAAAAAACTCTCTGGGGATTTCCACCAGGGCAGAAATACAACACTGCAGGCAGAAGTAGAAAACTGTGGTTCTGGCCTTCACTAGTGAAGTGCACACCACTATCACCTGACCTTTCTTTTTTTTTTTTTTTTTTTGGTTTTTCGAGACAGGGTTTCTCTGTGTAGCTTTGCGCCTTCCCTGGAACTCACTTGGTAGCCCAGACTGGCCTCGAACTCACAGAGATCCGCCTGGCTCTGCCTCCCGAGTGCTGGGATTAAAGGCGTGCGCCACCACCGCCCGGCCACCTGACCTTTCAATTCAGTTGTGTTTTCATTGGACTGCACGCTACCTCTGTCTGAATGCACTGCGTTGGGGGAGGGACTCCAATAGTTAGACGCACACAGATTCACAGCAGTCTAAACTAGTGGAGGAAGTCAGACCTCCTATGAGAAGCAGAATCTACTCTAAGGATTGTGGAGAATGGCAAAGGAAGAGCAAGCTGCTGCATTTCTCCAACCATCTGCTTATCTAGTTAAGGGCTGGAACAGCAGCATGCTGATAGAAGATGACTAAGGTGCTCTGCAGACAAGCAGGTCCCTTGAGGAAAAGAACAGTTCAAGCACACTCGCTGCCTGGAGTCAGATGCAGAAACAAACCTTCTGCTCATTCCTTCTCTCTTCCTGTAGCTTCAAGAATCATCTTAGCTGACCAGTTGTACACTCAGAAAAGCATCCAGAATTCTTTCTATTGTGCCCTTAACCATAACACTTCTAAGTTAAGCAATGTCAGAGTCATGGTAACTCAAAGTGTCCAGGTCTCAATTTCTAATCCCCCACCCCCGGCTGTCCTGGAACTACGTAGACCAGGCTAACCTCAAACTCACAGAGATCCACCTGCCTTATAAGTGCTGGGGTTAAAGGCATGCGACACCACACCTAGTTTGCCCTGCCACTCTTTAGTAAGATTTATGTTTTGTTCAGTTTCAGGATTAGGGACTGAGGCTAGGCAGGAGACAGTGCTGAGCTACATCTCCAGTCCTTTTCAATTTTGGGGAGGTCTTATTAAATTACCAGGCTGTCCTGAATTATAGATGATAATCTTCAAGTGTTTGCAGAGTAGCTGGGGTCACAGGCACGGGCATAATACCTGGCCAGGATTTGCTTAACTGAAACATAAAGTACCCCCCCCCCCCCACACACACACACACTGAATATTGACCATCTATGGACAAGCAACTTTAGTGATACCCTTCATGCCGTGCACTCATTTTGGAAATAGATGCTATTTGTTTCCATCATCTTTTAAATAGTAGGCTTTTATATACAAGAATCACTATACAAATTAAACTGTACATTATTATAAACTATAGAACTCTTAGTACTTATCCAATTTAGTATTCAAGTATACGGGGATGGGGAGAGCAAATGACAGCTGCTTTATTATTAAAAGTTACTCAGTTCCATAAAGCACACAAAGTAACCTATGTTCAACTAACAAAAAGTTTGTACATGTATTGAAAAATAGATAACAAATTTGTCTGTCTTAACATTTACATTCTATTTAAAAAGTAGTTACTTTACATACTTTTGCAATTTGTATTTATAAAATATATATACCCACCCTATTCAAATCCTCAAGCATGATCTTCCATTCCTAATCAAATGCACAATATATATTGTGAATCAAATGAATTACGGCAGCAATAAAATTAAAAAATCCAATTTGACCTGAACATGTACTTAATTCTTGACTACTACGTAATTAATTCCACTCAAATAAATCTTTACTATGTGCCTGACAATTTGCATTTATTTGAATGTGCTGTTGTTATGAAGACATTTGCACCTTCGCGGCATCTGATAAAAATCTCAGTCCTCTTTCAGGCTTTAAGACAGTGGCGTTTTCAGTCTTTCCACAGACCAGAGACTATGACAAGTCATGTGTCACAGACAGTCCAGAAAGAGTTTTCAGTATGGTTTGTCTTTGAGAAAACAACTTACATGATTGCATCAACTAGTCTTGAAAGCCCAGGCTGTGTGCCTGCCCAAAGAGAGCCAGAGTTGACTCGCCTTCCCCGCCAGCTCTTCACACGTGCAGTGGAGATCCAAGGGCTGGAGAGACTCTCGCCACTCGGGCCTCCGTTCACACAATCAAAGCAGCCAAACACAACTTTACTGACAGAAGTTTTTAAGACAATCTTATCATCCCTCAGAGACGAACAGCCAATGTAAGTATCAATAAGAAGTCTGAGAACTGAAATTACAACTATTACCTCACTTAGCAGATCACAGTACCAGCAGAGAGCCAAGTCTGACAGAGTCAGACTGATGGCTACGCCTCTAAAGAGAAGGATGCCTAAAACCCTGTCTTTGAGTTAATCAACAATTTATGCTGAGAAAGGAGTCACCCACAAATGATTTCAGTAAAATAACACCACATTTAAATGTAAAAACAACTTAACTAACGTGAGAAATAGACTCTGGAAGCGTCTCTATCTACAAGGAAACAAGTAGAAACCCTCCATGCCATTACTGAGAAATTCAACCACAGCTCACAGCTTTTCTGTCAATTACTCAACACATTTAGCAACCTGCTGATGAAATCAAGTTAGGTACAAAAAAATGGCATGTGTTTTATTTATAGAAAGTATTTAATTTCTTAAAATTTTTCAGATGTAATTTTAACTATCTTCCTTCTCTAGATTCCCTAACTTTAAAAAAAAAAAACAAAAACCTAACTTCTGAGTCAGAAAAGGAAACTGGAAGACATGGAGTATCTGTGAGAAGAAGGGTAAGGAGATGACAGACAGGGAGGCTAAGACCGAAGGTCAACAACAAGGTTGGGAGAGCTGCTGCAAGACACCTTCGAAGATGCCAACTATGCCAAGGCATTAGAGGTTCTGGCGCAATACCCAACTGGGAGGTGGCTGGCTGACTGGTGGGCTCTGTGACTGACTGACTGGTGAGCTCTGTGGCTGGCTGACTGGTGGGCTCTGTGGCTGGTTGACTGGTGGGCTCTGCGGCTGACTGGTGGGCTCTGTGGCTGACTGGTGGGCTCTGTGGCTGGCTGACTGGTGGGCTCTGTGGCTGACTGGTGGGTTCTGTGGCTGGCTGACTGGTGGGCTCTGTGGCTGGCTGACTGGTGGGCTCTGTGGCTGGCTGACTGGTGGGCTCTGTGGCTGACTGACTGGTGGGCTCTGTGACTGACTGACTGGTGAGTTCTGTGGCTGGCTGACTGGTGGGCTCTGTGGCTGACTGGTGGGCTCTGTGGCTGGCTGACTGGTGGGCTCTGTGGCTGACTGGTGGGCTCTGTGGTGGTACAAATGGGGCTCAGGGCCTCTCCAGGGCAGCTGCCACTGAGTGACACCCTCAGACCTGCAGATTGATAATGAATCTTCAGAAAGGTACTTTTTGAAAATCAATTTACAGGCATATACAATTAAACATAATTATAAACTTTTAGGTTTTCAACAAAGATATATTAAAAAAAAACTAATAAAAATGAGAAATATAAGCAGCAGTAACCATGAAAGCTGAGACCTAGTGACACTGAATTTTTTTATTAAAAAAAAAAAAACAACAAAAAACTTTTGAAAACACAGTACCTCCTCTTCTTCTCTACTTCTAAGAAGTTTTAACAAGTTTTAAATATCGCAGTTCTCAAAAACAATAGGCTTTTTAAAAAAGGACTTCATTACTAGAAATAACATATTTACACACCATTTTCATATTACTAATCATTTTCATTACTGTCAATTTATCTTTGCTTGAACAAACCAGTCACTAGATATGTTTTAGAAACTCAAGAAGTTATTAACCATTGAAGGTAATTAATGATATATATATATGTGTGTATTTGCGTATATTTAAAATCAGAAGGAGAAAATAGTAAACCACCCTAGTTACTTCCTAACAAATACCTACATATATCAACTCAAAGCAACATAATTACCATCCTTCTCCAGTTGGACTGTGGACTACATATAAGCTATCATCCCTTTCTCCTAGGGCTTAAAAATGCTTTATTTCCCTGCTGGCTAAAGAGATAATTACACATTATACGTTCGACAGATAGAAGTAAATATTAACTCCTGAAGAGAACAGCCACAAAATCTGTCTTTACAAAATTTTCCCACAAACCTGAAAATAACCTTTCTCCATAACCTATAGCATTTGTCTATACTCATAAGGGTGCCAAGTTCTTAACTGCAAAAAGAAGGGACTGCAAGTATCACATCTTTAAAACAAACTGGCAAAACAGGAGAATGGCCTGAAATAAATGTGAGAGAGAGAGAGACAGATAGACATAGCTTCTAAGTGTAAAATATAATGTTGCAAGCTAGTACTCAGTGATGGGGATGCAGGAGGAAGGAATGAACTCAGCAAATTTCACATAAATTTCTTGTAATTCTGATTCTCTTTCAATAATATGTTACAGCAAAATATTTGTTTTATTGAAAGCCACAACTTGCCTTCAACTGAACAATGAACCACATACACATCTTACGTCTTTTAATAATGTAAAATAATTATATGCAAGTGTTAAAGAATTTTCAGTGACTCCTAAATTCAAGGGAGTAATGTTAATCTGATTATGAATTATTAATAGTTCTTATTTTCTTCACTTGGAATCAAAAATGAACTAAAATTGTTTGGTTCCCCCCATTTCATTTTAATCTAGTTTATAGTATCTGTATATACAGAGGTATATTAAAACAGTTATAAAAACGCAACTGAAGCTATTACTCTACACTATAGCACTGAATGCTTGACCTGGTGTATTAATTCCTTTGGTGAATAAACGTCACAGGTCACTTATGAAAGGATTTTAGTTACGACTATGAACACAGGGTATTATTCCCCTGTACTGCCCCACCCCACCCTGAAAAAGATGACATTAATTAGCATTTTAGAGCAGTAACAGAAAACATGGGAACACCTCATTTACAGCTGTAATTTTCACATTAAAAGCAGTGAAAACTAAGAAGTTATAGATTTTTTTGTATTAAATAGGCCAACTAATAAAACTAATAATGATCACTGTGAGAACTTATGTATACCCAGTCAAGAGAGAAGAAAATGTTTATAATCTTTAAAAAATGATCATTGCTACCTAGCAGTATAAACAGTGTCCACAATTTGGTGGCTGGCCATGGTTTTAATTTTTTTTCAAGTTATTTCTACAGCAGACATATTTTTGAAGTCTACCCACCCCTGAGTTCAGCAGTTATACTTTTAGAGTGTAAAATTATATGCCCTTAATTAACAACATGTACAAAGCTACAAAATGTCATCTACACAGAGATTAAAAACAATTTTTAAAATATTCTTTACCAATTATCAATTGGATGATTTTATGGGGGTACATATGTCAGACCTTTCAGCCAATTGGCTTTCATTTTTAAGCCCAAATTAATTAATATAGTCACGGAAGGATATTCAAAAAGAGTGCAACAGTAAGGCATTAGTAAAAATGACATTGTCATAGAAACAGATCTTGCATATGTGAAAAGGTAATTTATAAAATACATTAATTGCTTCTTAAAAAGACCTAGTTGTAGCATCATTAACTTACATGGTACATGGTACTTAGAATGGAACCTTTCCAACAACTGTATTATAGATTAGATAAAGATAGATAGATAGACAGACAGACAGGGACAGACAGACAGACAGACAGAAAAACTTCATCTAGCTGTAAGCAAAATCTTTTCAACAAACAAATTCTTCCAAGAAAACCTGTAGGGTTGTGTGAAACAAATAAGCAAACCTATCATTTTATAGTGTTCTTTTGCCAAAATCTTAAAATAAAAATGTCCACACTCTTTTGTTAAAACATTAAGCCTCTGTCAAAAATGTATTTCTCATTTTAGGGTACAGGATTGAAGGACAAGATGATACAAGTAAAGAAAATTTACAAGAAAAAAACTTGACAAAAGTCTTTCAATTAAAGTACTGTAACATTCAAACAACTTAAAATGTAACAAAAGAAACAAGATTACAAACAAAAATGTTCATGGATTCCAAACATAAATAAAGAAATAGTGTTTAGGCATAGGGCTCATGCTGATGGCTAGCAGGAAGTAACAGAGTGTAACATACTGGGGAAAACTAACAGGCCCAAATAATGGATGGCGGTAACTTAAGCATCACTGCCGGTTTTTTTTTTTTTACTTCCAAAATAAAGTCTTGGTTAAACCATTCACACCCTATATTATTCACACCTTTACTTCAGAGATTGAGGACTATGTACAACAAATGAATTTATTTTCACCATAGGGATAACATATTGTACCTCTCTGCCAATGTTCCTTGAAAACTTTCCATGTCAAAACAATTTGACAGCAGATATAAACAATTAAATAAATACGCAATGATCTTTCTTACGGTCCTTTAAAGATGCATGTTATTTCATGCTGTTAGCCTTAGGATCACAGTGCATAGAATCCAAATATAAACGTTGGGGTGACTTTCAATGTAATGTTGGATCCCTCACTTTCCTTATAATCCCACAATAACCGATAAATTCATTTCATAGGCCCTATCATGCATTAATCACCAAGTGGCAGGAGTTAAGAAAACTCTTCCTGTATCAACGTCCATTGCCGGCAATGAACGTCCCCAAACCACCGAGGAAGTCACTGTTATTGCACAATACATGAGGACCTGGAACTTTTCCAAAAGCTTAAAAAAATAAAAATAAAAAATGGAATTATATTTGACATTTCCTGACACCTGCATTAATACTGTATGACTAATATAAAAGCATGTCAGTTGCCTGGACTGAGCCAGCGATCAACATGCGCCCAGAATGCACACGAGTAAAAATGCAGTAAAAGGAAGTAGTCTTCATTGCCTATAGGTCACTTCCAGTCAAAGGTTAAAGTTCAAAGACTGAATGATCAAAGTGCTCATTTTCTCAGTAGGACTATCTTCTGCTACGAGGATGATAACAGTGGCATCAACAAGTATCATCTTTAAGAAAAGGAGAAAAAAGAGAATTAAAAAGTTAAGCATGTGTAAGTCATCTACAAGTTAATCTCATGTAGAAATAACATCAAGTAGCAAGAACATGGCTGATCTGACTTGCCTCTCTCAATCATTACAGATAAAAATTTGTGTTCGATTATATAGTGACAATCAAACCAACCTTTATTCTTTCAAGGAAATAAGTTTGTAAAAACTTTAAAATATATGATTAGTATATTAGTTCAATTTAAAACAAGAAATTGATATGATAAGGTAGCACATATTTAGGATACATCTTAAGAGAGTTTGTCTAAAAGCAATACTTAAACAGTCATGCCACTTTACACAAAATAATATATCACATGATTTTAGTCTATGCGACAACTCTCCAACAATGAGATACAACTTTCAAGTCAATCAACAGACACTTAATGCTGCTAATGTTCCTTCAGAAAACTAGTTTTCAGAAAGTATACATACATATGCAAGGTCATTTAAAACCCAAAGAATTATTCTGTAATCCCTTCTGGTCCCTCAGCATATTATATTTAGATAGTACCTAACTATAGGGTCCATGACTTACTTTACAAAACTGATTTCACAAAAATGTATCCGAGGAATTTGAGGACTAGTTACTTTCAAAAAGAATCTTCAGACTAGTGACAACTCCTAAGAGCTGTGAAAGCTTGTAAAGAAAAAACTCAGAAAACACTGGCCAAATGTTCCACAAATAATTCACGTTAAGGCTGATGTAGTGCTAATAAAATTTCCACCGATAAAGACCAAATGAAGTCTATTATGTGAGGAGAATTCATGGATTATATACATGCTGAAATAAACTAGATTTTAAAAATAAATCATGGGTTGGTGATATAGGTCAATGGCACAGTATTTTCCTAACCCTGGGCATGGTTTATTAATTTAAAGGAAGGGGGGGAAGCACGTATACAGGCCTAGGCTCAATTCCCAGCAACAATAGGCAAAGAGCATGGCAGATTTTGAGTATGCAGTCAGCCTGGGCTACATGGCAAGACCCTCTATCAAAACAAGACAAAACAGGGGCTGGAAAAATGGCTCAGAGATGAAGTATTCTTGTAGAGGATCATAGTTCTAGCCACAGCACCCATGTTGGGTGGTTCACAACTTATGTAATTCCAGCTCCAGGGGACCAGGTGCCCTTTTCTGACCTCTGAGAGCATAAACAACACACACACACACACACACACACACCCCAAAATATGACAATTTTTGGAGACAGGGTTCATGCAGCCCAAACTGGTCTCAACCTTGCTGAGTAGCCAGAGCTGATTTTGAAATCATCTTCCTGCCTCCAGATCCTAAGTGCTAAAATTAAAGACATATGCTAACTGGCATGACTATACCCTTCAATGAAAAAGAACATATCAAAGACAAAAGCAAATGAAAAATTGGTATCTTTTATGTTTCATACCAAAGTACCTATTTCTGTGGATTTAGAAGAAGATATATTTGCTGTGAATGTAAACAAAATAGAAATATGAAAAAGTTTCTCAAATAATGTTTTAGTTTTATGTGTGTATTTCAATTTTGGGTTGTTCTGTTTTTTCTTAGTGTATGTAGGGGGATGGGAGTTTGGTTTTTTTGTGTATGTGTGCATGTTTGGGATTTGTGTGTGTGTGTGTGTGCACTTTTATGTGTATACACATGCGGGGTATTTTTGTTTTGTTCGTGTGTGTGTGTGTGTGTGTGTGTGTGTGTGTGTGTGTTTCAGACGGGCTCTTACTAAACTGTCTAGACTAGCCTTAAGCTTACAATCTGCCCATACTGGCCTCTGAAGTAGAAGGGATTATAGGAATGTCAGCTCAATAAAGTATTTTATTGAGATAAACACCACAACTCAGACTTAAATCTGTAAGCTACAGTGTGGCACTGACTTCTACCTAAGATGCCACAGTACAGAGACAAACTTTAGAATGATACAGACAACAATACACACAGTAAGAAAGAGACTTAATCAGTCAAGCATGCTATTGAGTAAAGTAGAAACAAGCTGTATCTCTAAAGACATACCGTATGTTTTAGATGGCAGCACAAATTTACCTTTATTAATGGTTGTTTGTTCTGGAAGGTTCTCAGCATAGTAGGCTTCTGTAGAATGTGCTACTAAAATGATTATAAAATCTCTAAAGCTATTCTCTATGTCCCAATCTCCATCTTGGATCAAATGTTAAAATAATTTAGGTCTGATATGGTTCTACCTGCCTCGAACATCTTAGCTTTGTGGAAATAAATTAAGTTCTTAAGCTGGAATTGAATGATCTCTACTAGCAGGACTCCCAGGGAATTAAAAGGTTATAATTCCTCAATAAATACACGCAACCAAGTTTGCAAATAAACTGGTATGAACATGGATATGAGTCAAATCTGTAACCCTGCTTTCCCATAACTAAAAGGCAAACCCAACAACAAAACAAAAAACCTTTGAGGGATCTAGTCTTTTAATTATGTGCAAAGACTATGTACTAGGTATCAGGACGGACACACATACAGCAACAATGGAGTAAAGCTTATTTTAGGTCAAGACAAATACATGGCTATAGAAGGTTATGAAAGACCAGTAACAGTCTTTAACCTCTCTGCTAAAATACCTGTGGCAATAGAGTAACTTGGAAAAAAAAAAATCTCATAATGATGATTTCAGTCTTCTCTGGAACTACCAAAGCCCCTACTAAAATCACATTCTCAAGTGTAACATACAAACTGCTGGTTCCAGAGCTCACCCCCATTATAGCTAACTTCACCTGGCTTGTGGAAAAGTGAGAACTAAAGAAGGGTCATTACATCCCCCCAAGTATAAGAGTCACATTACACTGGAAACCATCTCCCCGAATATCACTAAGGACACAAGACTAGAAGAAAAACAGAGCATCACAGGCCAATGATACTAAGTGGGAGATTAACAGCAAAACAAACTATTTACACTTAAGTTTTATCTCTTAAGAGTTTAGGGAATTAGTTTTCCTTTGACAAATGGATTCAAGAAAGATTGTAGAGCAGGTAACATAAGTGTCACCCATGAGGAGGAAAGGGGGACTGCTAAACCATTCAAGTTCTAGATTTAGGGATTTAGTTATTTTGTAGCCTTAAAAGGTAAACAAGAGATGGAGAGATGGCTCAGCATTAAGAGCAGCTGCTCTTCCAGAGGTCCTGAGTTCAATTCCCAGCAACCACATGGTGGTGCACAACCATCTACAGTAGGATCTGATGCCCTCTTCTCGAATAAAGGTGTACATGCAGATACTCATACACATAAATCAATCAATCAATCTTTTTTTTTAAGGTAAAACAAGTTTTAAAAAAGTTCACCATTAGTGTAAATTTGTGATCTACGGTCAAAGGCTGTAAAGCAGGAAGAAAAGAGGTGCTTTTATTTTTGAGGCATGGTCTCAAGGAGCCCAAGCTGGCTTTGAACTGAGAAGGCAGAAGACGAGGAACTGATCGGCCCCACCTCCTGAAGGCTGAATGACACGTGTGCGCCGCCACTCTCGGTTATGTGATGCTGCAGGACCTCAGGGCCTCTCACACGCTAGGCGACCATTCTACTAACCGACCTACATCCTCGGCCCCAAAGTGTTCAACACTACTAATCTAAGACAGTTTATGTTCCCAGCCTCCTAAAATCTTCACAATTCTACAGGAATGTTCCAGCTAGAGAGAACTAGAATGCAGCCCACGGTCTTAAAGATTCCTCAATTTCTTCCATAGTAGATTCATCCATTTGTTAAGTGTGCTATCTGAATGCTATGCTGATTCATTCACTGCCTGTAAACCTGATGCACACACTCAAGTGTGAGCTGAACCTAACGTCTAACTGAACACATTACCATAGGAGTACTTCAATAATCAAAGGTCTACACCCCCCTCTAGAAAACTACTGCCTATGAAAGACGAATATTTTTAATACTGATTCCAGTAAACAAGTCCTATTATTAATGGAATCTGGCTGCCTACTTCATTTTAATTCTTTTATAGTACAAATTGATACTTTGTACCTTTGCCATGGATAATTTTGGGGGTCTGGTTGACAATAAAGACTCTGGAGTCCAATGGAGCAGTCATGAACATAAAGCAGCTGTGGCTGTCTGCACAGAATCAAGTCAGTTACCATTCTGCTCAAAGCTCCCAACCCTGACTGAGGAACTACTGACAACTGATAGCTTCTATGGGATATAATCTGTTTAATTAATAGTGTGGCCCTAGTAGGTCTACCATGCTCCAGCAGCTGGCCTCACCTATGAGGATATGGGCATCCCAAATTGGACTCAGTAGGGTCTGTTAAAAAGGGGGGGGATGAGATTGAGAGGAGGTAGACAGAGAGGTGGAGGTGAATCTGGGAGGAGTTAGGGGGAGGAGTGGGATGTGAGTATGATCAAAATACATTGTATGAAATTCTCAAAGACAATTTTTATTATAAAAAAAGAAAAAGAAACAAAAAACTTTGGGTTCTAAATGATTTATTCATCTGTGCAAAGATATGAATCTATATAAGGAAGACTCCAGGTCTGAATCACGGCAAATTCCCAAACCCATTTGTATGTCTATTTCACAAACCTATTTTGATTACGCTTTCAGCTTCTGACCCTAATTGTCTCAGCTCAATTTATTTTCCAGAGCAGATGAACTCCTGTGTTAACTAGCAACATGGTATGCTTATATCCAATGCAGATATGACCTAATTAGAAACTAAAGAGTTCTGGAAAATGGTCCTAATTTCAAGTAACAATAAGGAATGTATATTCATATACCAATACAACTTCTTATATTCCAAAACTCTACCTAATACAACTACCTTTTATATTTTAATAAACCACTGTGTACTAAAGAACTATAAAAGCAATCAATAGGAGGTATGAGGTATACAAATGGAATAGCAGTAAGCTATGAGGGACTGGCCTAATTTTTAAGATATTCTAAATAATAATGTAGACAAGCAAAGACCTAACTCTGTTATCTGGTAGCTCAACTTT